TGCTACCTTTAGGAACACATGGTCCCTCGCCTCGAATTTCAAGTCTTTGCGCCTTAGGTCTGCATAGCTTTTCTGTCAACTTTGTGCGGTTTGTATCCTATCTTTTATCTTCTAGACTGCTATATTGGTGATTTGCACCAGCTTTAGCCCCAATAGTTGTCATTTTCCAACATCTTCCCAAAAGACAGGGGATCAACATCTTCATCCATAAAGTGCCTCGTACGCGACCATTTGTATGATAGTCTGGTAACAATTATTATAAGAAAATTTTATGAGATGTATTTATTTATCCCGACTTCTTGCGAAGTCCATCATATATGCTCTTAGCATGTCTTCCAATACTTGAATGAGCCTTTCTGTCTAACAATCTGTTTGAGAGTAAAAGACTCTACTAAATTTTGAAGACTTTTGGAGACTTTACCAAAAGTGAGATATAAACCTGGCATCTCGGTCTGATACTATTGTGATACTGGAACTCCGTATAATCAAACTATTTCCTCCATGTAAAATTGGGCCCACTTATCTACCGAGTAAGTAGTCTTCCCAAGGATGAAATGAGTGAATTTAGTTAATCGATCAACGATACTCATATGATTAATGCTGAGGAGTGAGTAGTCAAACTACTTCTTAGTTTTAGGTAATCCTACGATGAAATCCATGGTGCCTTCCTCCCACTTCTGTTGGGAAATACTTAAGGGTTGTAGGAGCCTTGATCGATATTGTCGTGGTGTCTTGATTCGTTGACAGGTCAAGCATCGGCTCATGTATTTCTCTATGTTCAGTTTCATCCCTAGCCACTAGTAGTAGGATATTAAGTCTTGGTACATCGGGGTGTTTCTAGGGAGGATGGCTAATGGTGAATCTTGGACTTCTATGAGTAATTCATTTATTAGTCCCTCGTCCTTCGGTACGTATAATCGTCGTCTCCACAAGAGGCCTTTTATCGGTGGACATGAAGAATCCTTCGGGATGGTCAACTTCTTGTTGTTAAAAAACTTTATTGAGGTAAGGGTTCTTTTCCTGAGTATCACATATATGCCGTCTTAGTGTAGGTTGGACCGTTAGTTGTGTCAATTTCGTTGTTAACTCTTTAATTAAGACCTCGATGGTGGCCCTAATCATTTCTTCTTGGGAGCATCACTACTATCCCAGATGCACTGAACCAAACTTTCAAGATAAATTTATAGTAGAGGCTAGACAATTATTATTAAAATATCTAAATCTTTTCCTTAAAGTAGTTACGTATCTTTATTTTTAAAATATCTAATAAAATGGTAATGCACCTCGAGTTCCACATGCTTTGTTTTAGCATAAATTCTCAAATTTTTTATAGGCAAACCAAAAATTAGTAGTCGCAATGAAGTGGTATTGGATAGTCAATTTTCTAGTACAAATCCTCGGTTAAGAGTTTCAGCCACATATTTTCTTGATCTGCTCCAATCGCTACTCCGTACTTCGCATATGTAGTTGATAATGATATTGTTGGTCGTCTTTTGCTACACGAAGAAACTGTTCTCGAACCGAGCTTGAAAACATATCCAGTATTTGATCTTTGGGTATCGTGATATCCTGCATAGTCAGCATCACAGTATCTAGCTAGCTTAAAGTCTTCAATTCTTTAGTACAAAAGACCATAATTAATTGTACCTTTGACATATCTCAAGATTTGTCGATCTGCATCTAGATTAGGCTTCTTTGAACTTTACATGTACTTAATGACTCCAACTCATTTTCAAATTCATTTGGTTGGTTCATGTAGATCTCCTGGTCCAACTCTTCATGCAAGAAAGCGTTCTTCATATCCATTTGTCATTTTCAATCTTTATTTACCACTGTGCTGGAGGAACCTGTACGATAGTGATCTTCGTCATTGGACTAAACATTTCATCAAGTCTAGTTCATATTGTTGAGAGAACCGTGAAGCTGCAATTCGAGCCTTGTACCTCTCGATTGATTCATCCACGAGACACATTATTTTGTAAACCCACTTGCAAGAGATGAGTTTGATATCTCTTGGTCTTGACACTAGTTCCTAAGTTTGATTTTGCTCCAAGACTATAATTTCTTCCTCCATTGCCCGCTGTAAAGCTGTATTTTGTGATGCTTCTTCATGCATCTTTGGCTCTTAGCTTCTCATCTTCTATAATAGCTGCTTTGGTATACTATGGATTTTGATATTTGATTTTTTCTGACCATCTTTGTTGAGGTGCCATTTGTGTTTCACTAGATTTCCTTGGTTGAGTCACTTCTTTCACCAGCATCAGTGTCACTTAGATCTTCAGGCACTTCAACACTTAAGTAAATGTGTACAGTTTGCTCCCCATCTTCAATTTCTTCAATGTTGTCTATGCCTGGTAATACTTCCCTCTCTAAGAGCCACTTACTTCCATTATACCAATATGATCATCAATCACGTGGTTTGAGCATCCTAAATCAGTGATCCAGTCATTTTCATAATCGATATATTCTTCCATCATTTCCATAAGCGCTAGATCATCTTTTTCTATAGCATATATTGCCTATGCATTTCATTCCTCTTTCATCTCCATGTTGGAGAATGTCACATTGCTTTCGACAAACTTTTTCTTGGACCAACAATCCCTGTACATGTAGCCATTTTCCTGCAATTGTAGCATGTAGTCATTTTCCTGCAATTGTAGCAAATACCTTCAAATCTCTTCCCTTAAGAGCTTTACTGTCATTCTTCTGACATCTCCCTGGTTGTACAATTCCTTGGTGACTTCTTTCTTTGTCACCATTTTTGTATTCACGTTTGGTAGACGACTTATTGTTGCTCCGACTTTCACTTGTGTAGAATGCTCTTTTTCACACTTTAATGTGATGCCTCCCATTTGCTTAGCCATGACTTCTTGACTGCCTAGCAAATTTTCAAACTCTACAGGTGATGGTTGAGTTGGCCATCATTGTACAACAATAACAAAACTTTTATATTTTGGTCGTAATTCGTGAATAATGATCCTCTTCATTCGAGTTTCTCCAATGACGGACTTCGGGTCTAGTTCAATAATCTCCCAGCATATCGACTTGACTTTGTGGAATTACAGAAGTTGTGGCCTCGTATCATTCTTCTTTAAGAACAACATCACGAACAAGTCTCATACTTCTTTCAGTGACTTGTCATCCCAAACGTACTCTAACATCTCTCTTTGATTGTGGTCTTCAAGGCAAACATTGCTTTGCCTGCTTTAATTCTCAATTTGCGCAAGGCGGCATTAGAATTTTTCTCTGGCGATATAGTTTCACTCCCGTTTTCCAAAGGTTTTGTCCTTGTAAATAGGACATTACGCATGTTGTCCATGTATTGTAATTGTTCGTAGTTGAGTTTCTTGATTCCTCCATCGATTTAATGTTGGCTATACCTCAATAATACAAACAAGCTATTTCGACATAAAATTCGTAGAGTGAGTTTTTGTACCGAAGGTTCGAATCCCTCTCTTTCCGTTTCTGTCAATTACTTGGTATTTTTTTATAGTTCAAAATCAAGCAAGGAAAAAAATCATTTGTTTTATTTTTCATGTCCCGGATTATATCCCGGGTCATTAGATAGAAATCCGAAAATGTAGAGAGAAACAAAGAATATTACTACTGTATAAACAAATAATATTACTACTGTATAAATAAATAGTTTCAGAGTCAAAAGAATATTACTACTGTATATACAAATAGTTTTAGAGTATGCATTACACCATCTCCAAGATCATTTTTTTTAAGAGAACAGATTCTCTATATTAACCTGTTTTGACACCAAGAAATGTAGTGAAGTTATTTCTAGAAAAGAAATATGAAAATTTTTTAAGAGTTGAGTAGTTCATTACTAAAATTTGTATTTCATACCTACAATTATATATTGTGGGGGACTCTAACTGTGGTCGTTCAATAGAAAAAAGTAAGAATAAGAAAAGAGTGATCCAGATTTATCACAGCTATACTACTCACAACACATAAACTTACCCACTAATAATCTCAAGAAATTGTTTATGGTGCGGAAGATTAGAGATCTGCAACCTGCAACCACAGAGCATACTAAGAATTCCAAGAGATCAGACAACCTAGCCTAATTTGTGATAACAAATTATTGAACCTAACTTTTTATGGGAAATACTCACAAGCTCTTTCTTTATTAAGATCAAGAGAGATTACAAAAGACTCGAGGAGAGATTACAAGAGAATCTGTGTAAACTTTTGCACTCTATGCTTTGGATTTGTAGTAGGGAGGAAATTATTTACAGTAAAGCACACAATTCATTCCTCAAATATCTAACGATTTATTCTTAAAATATATAAATTTTTTTTTTAAATAGTCCATATCTTTATTCTTAAAATATCTAAATCATTTTTCTAAAATATTTAAATATACTAGTTTCTAAATCATTTTTATAAAATAGCTAAATTATTTTCCTAAAAATGAATATATCAATGGTTCATACAATTATGAAGTTTGACCCATACGCTAGTGATATATTTTAACATGTTCGAAGTCGATGAGAGATGTAAGCTACTAAGCAAGTGTCCATAGCAAGGTTATCTTGTCAGGCTCTAGATCCATCTGTTTTATGATGGGTTGAACGAGAAACTGAAGGGACAATTTTCACTAACATCGTTACTTAATCCGAGATGTAACCATTACCTTAAGATCAAATCATTGACCAAAAGTTAAAGGCAAAAGTAAATTAATAGTAAAAATTGGGTAAAATGTTGTGCTAATTTAAAGCAAACAACACCCTAATTAAAAAACAAATAAAAAAGAATTATAAACCAATGTTGTTTAAGGTTTATTAGAGGGACTAGGGTTGGGGATACAAAATTCAAACAACACAAACGACCCAAAAATCACATTAACATTGGTATCTCGGGAAGACCCCATTGTGACCTGTAACGACCGATCTTCGGAAAATACTGAATCACGGGTCTCCACATGGACTCAGGAGTAAAAAAAAAAACTTTTCAACACTTTATGTAGTTTGAACAGGGGACTGAAAGTTAAAAGTTGTCTGATATACATTTCAAAATAAAATATAAAACACATAACGAAGATCTGCGAGGTCACATAAATATAGTAGGTTTTCAAAAACGTCAAAAATCATAACCAAAACGACATGGGAGAAGAGGACTCAATCTGAGGGCCCCCCTTCTGCAGCTGCACGACTTCACACGTCCCCGCCAACCTGGATCTACTTTTCTCCTGAAAAATAGCAAACAACGCAGGATGAGTATATAAACAATACCCAGTAAGCAACTTGCTCGTAAGCTCTTGTCGAACTTAGCCCTATTCACGAGATTCTAAATTTTTAGCTCGATTAGTCACTAGTTAGAGACCTAGTGGTGCCTGGCAACATCCAACTGTTTCTAAGATCAGTAACTACCTGCCACTGTGCCTCGCAAGGCCGGGTCAGTCACTACCTGTCTTACGCCCTTGTCGGCTCAAATCAGTAAAACTACCTGTCTTAGGAACAGTAACTACTTGTCTTATGCCGCTCAGCTGGATCAGTAAAAAGCCATGGCTCATCCCACTAAGCATCTCTTATCACAGTAATATATTATGATTACCCTCAACCCCTTGTGGGTAACTACTAAAACGGTACAGTGTCATTATGTGCTCCCTAACTTATAATTACTAGCACTTAATAATTCATCAAACATTCAAAGAGTAGCAATGGGCTACCCAAGCCCCACACCTAATGCCTAACAAAGAACCACGGCGACAACACGTCCCCATGCTAAGTCACATAATAACCATAATAACCATCTAGCTCAACATAAAAACATACTATTTCACATGCCTATATGAGATTTCACATTCAGGCCAACGAAACTATATAACCATAACGACAACCAAAATACAATCACACATTATTGAAGTACCACCTCCATGAACTAACTATATCCATTCCTACATATATTACTAAACTATTTGGCCACAAGTCCAAACCGACTCCTACAAGCAATTAATTAAAAACTTGCTCTAGATGGTTACTTACCTGATCGTAGACTTCCAAAACTTAATCGAGTCTTCAAGTGTCCCTTGAATAAGCTTGAAATTTTCCTATAATAAGACATTTATGGAACGTGTGAGTCAAGTTCCTAACTCTAGATAAAGATGAATCTGATGGTATGAAATGGGAAAACAAATCTAGTTTAGGTTCTGTACAGGTGGGTCGGGGCGGGTCAAGTTGTGCCCCCTCAGTTTTCAGCCTCTTCTTCCCACCTCCTTCTTGATCTTTCTTTCCTCTCAATAGTCCATGTCTTCTTCTTCACAAGGACTCACTAACTTCCCTCGACAATAACCTAGGTACATCGATCCCATGAAATGTATTAGGGTTTTGGAAAATAACAACAAAAATCACACCACTAGAACTTACTGTCGGTGTACTTCCTTCCTCAACCGTTCGGCCCACCGTCGCTAACGAGCGCCTCAAGCTCCGTCGTTCGTCTCCACCGCTCCACCCTCTCCTCTGTCTTCTTCTTCGTTCTTCTTTTTTTTTTTTCTTTTCTTCCTTCTTTCTTCTTTTCTTTTCTTCTCATTCCGGCCTCTCCTTTTCTTTTTTTTTTTAACCTAAAAGAGTAGTACAACTGCCATTTCTCTCTCCTCACTTATTGCCAGCTGAACGGCTCTTACACGTGTAGCTTCTAAACACTCCCCCACCTCGATCAACAATCAACGAGCACCTGAAAAAATTGTAGAATGGGTAAAAATACTCAATAAGTAGCCTATTTGTTGGCTTTCATTGCATCCAATCCTAGGAAGTTACCACAAATTTTTCCTTGAGTTCGAGGAAGTTTGGCCCTAATTCTATGGAAACCTGAGCCTTTGAGAGGGCCTCAAAGGTTATGTAGTTTTCTTGTCCATTACAAACCCAATCTAAAATGTTCACCCATTTCTAATGTCGTGGATCTACTAAGCGACGTATTTTAGCTCAAGATGAACTTTATTACTGGTCTTTTGATTTATTCAGCTTACATAACCACAACAATGAAAGATCGATATCCTAGATTGAGAGCTACTTCAGAAAATCTAATAGGATAGTCTGAACATCATTTATAGAAGGTTAACTAGTAGACCCTTTCACATACTTGCTAAATATTAAGTTATTTGTTGGTCCCTTGTCGCCTCTTTGGACGGTTTATAGCACAGAGACCCTATTTATAAGACCCTTAGTCATTTCTACTGAATAAAGGCACCTAGTGGCCTGAACGAGCTATTTCTAAAAGGTCCGACCTAAGTCGCTAATAACGCTAATGGCATATGAGAGAAGATAGGAGCAGGAGAGTCTGGTTACTTGATTCATACTAATAATATGTTTGTTAAGCTTTCATAGTCATTCTTAGATGACATAGAGCTTTACTAGGTTCTTATGACATCTAGGCGATTTAAATCTCAATTTACAATTTCAAGACACTGGAATTAGCTCTTCTAGATGCCATGGAGCTTTACTAATCAATGCTCACGATCTTAAGGTTCTCGGTCTACTAAAACGTTCTGACCTAGGTCAACATGAAACTATTCTAGTTTTAACGCTCTAATCTAAATATAGTATATTCATTCATGCTTCGTTAGGGAGATAATCCTACCAATCACCTCAATCACGAAATGCATTATCCCAAGCTCAACAAGGAAATAACATTCATCAATTACCCACCGCACAAATCAAAATATCTCTTTCTTCTTTCAGGCATCAATATTTAGATCCACATGCATCTAAAAAATATCATCTTGAGGACATTAGATAACATTCTCATTCATACTGCCCGTCTAAAGTCATAATCATGTATATTCTAATCACCTAAGGCAAGATAGCTCACATGCTAGTATTTTCTGGTGATTCCAACGAGCGACTATTTATTTGGGGTGTGTGTCTTTTCTAGCTTGCTTTTGTGTATACTACTAGCTATAAATTTATTGAAATTTCTCAAGTTATGGCCTAATTTGAGTTAAGTTAGACTTGGTATGGAAATCATGATCCCCTTTTAACTTTTTACTTTTGAGTTATTTTAACCAAATATATATATATATCATTCTCATCCAACTCCCGGGTAAGATGAAAGTTCATTTCTGTGTGTTCGTTTGCAAATGGAAGTAGAATAGATACAGAAGTAGAAGGAGGCTTTCCACCTGCAAGCCAGATCTCCAGGATATGGCTTCCACTCCCACCGGCTCCATCACTACCGTCGAAGATGATCGTCACCTCGATCACCAAGACTCCATCAAATTCGGCTCAACGGAGGCACTCGAACACATTCGAACCCTCACCGATGTCGGAACCATGACCCGTCTCCTTCACGAGTGCATTGCGTACCAGCGAGCCCTAGACCTCAATCTCGACAATCTTCTCTCCCAACGCTCCGACCTTGACAAGCAGCTCGTGCAGCTTCAGCGCTCCGCTGAAGTCATCGGCATTGTTGAAGCGGATGCCGACTACATGCTCTCTAACGTCACATCCACCAGCGGCCTCGCCGACCAGGTTAGCGCCAAGGTCCGCGATCTTGATCTGGCCCAGTCGCGGGTCAATTCCACCCTGCTTCGTATCGACGCCATTGTTGAGAGAGGGAATTGTATTGAAGGCGTCAAGAAAGCTCTTGATTCCGAGGACTACGAATCTGCAGCCAAGTATGTGCAGACGTTTCTGCAAATCGATGCTAAGTACCAGGATTCCGGGTCGGATCAGAGGGAACAATTGTTGGAATCGAAAAACCAGTTGGAGGGAATTGTCAGGAAGAGGCTCTCGGCGGCTGTGGATCAGCGGGATCATCCCATGATCTTGCGATTCATACGGCTTTATTCTCCGTTAGGTTTGGAGGAGGAAGGGTTGCAGGTTTATGTTGGATACTTGAAGAAGGTGATTGGAATGAGGTCTAGGCTTGAATTTGAGAATTTGGTGGAGCTGATGGAGCAGCAATACCAAAATCATAATGTGGGCAGTAATCAAAGCCAAATTAATTTTATTGGCGGCTTGACAAATTTGTTCAAGGATATTGTTTTGGCTATAGAAGAGAATGATGAGATCTTAAGGAGTCTATGTGGTGAGGATGGGATTGTATACGCGATATGTGAACTTCAGGAGGAGTGTGATTCGCGTGGATCTTTAATCTTGAAGAAGTATGTGGAATATAGGAAATTGGCTCAGTTGTCGTCTGAAATTAATGCTCAAAACAAGAATTTACTAGCTGTTGGTGGACCAGAAGGACCTGACCCAAGGGAAGTTGAGTTATACTTGGAAGAATTGTTGACGTTAATGCAGTTAGGTGAGGACTATACTGAATTCATGGTCTCCAAAATCAAGGGATTGAGTTCTATAGATCCAGAGTTGGTTCCCCGAGCTACAAAGGCTTTCAGAAGTGGAAGTTTTAGTAAAGCAGTTCAAGATATCACAGGATTTTATGTGATTCTGGAGGGATTTTTCATGGTTGAAAATGTGAGGAAAGCTATCAAGATAGATGAGCAGGTGTCTGATAGTCTTACAACTTCTATGGTGGACGATGTATTCTACGTCCTACAGAGTTGCTTAAGACGTGCGATTTCCACTTCGAATATTAGCTCATTGATTGCAGTTCTGAGTGGTGCTAGTAGTCTGTTGAGCAATGAGTACCAAGAGGCATTACAACAGAAAATGCGAGAACCAAATTTAGGTGCAAAACTATTCTTAGGTGGTGTTGGTGTACAAAAAACAGGGACTGAGATTGCAACAGCCTTGAATAACATGGACGTGAGCAGTGAATATGTTTTGAAACTCAAACATGAGATTGAGGAGCAATGTACTGAGGTATCATACTTCACCTTGACATTTACTTCATACATAACTGCTACTGTTGTGCTATATTACACTAGATTTCTTTTTGCACTTTTAGTTTTCATTTTTCACGTTTTGTGGCCTCTTTGTTTAGTGTTTGGCTGGTTGAGATTGAAAACCTATTTTGTTATTGTTAACTTTGTAATCTGTTGTCTGAATTTATAGCCTTGGCAGATGAGTATTGCTTTTGAAATTGCATAGTTCATTGTCATACGTTTGATAGCATATAAAGCTGGGTTTCCCCATCTGATGTTCTGTTTTAGTTTCACTATTTGTATCAAATATATCCTCTATTCTCGTCTAAAAGTAGTTCGGCTACTAAGTGTAACTCCCTGAATCTGGGTCCTGTCTCTAAGCTGGAACTATCACCCTACTAACACGATAAGAAATAATTTCATTGATAGTATGAAACTTCGAAAGGGGGAGAAACCCTGTCTGGTGAATTACGAAAGAACTCTCTAATTGGAGAGGAGGGAGGAAAAGCTATAGTAGCGGAAGAGGGGGAAACATTTACACCAAGAAACAACCACATTAATAACAGATTCAAAAAATATGTAATAGGGAAGTTCCTTATCTTGAAAAATCCCTCTTGTTTCTCTCTTGCCCATATGATCCAGCAGTAAGCTCGAATAAAATTCTCCCATAGGGCTTTTTTCCTTTTCTTGAAAGGATGGCCCCCTATTGTAAAGTGCAGCATCTGTTGAGGGTTATTTGATAATCCAATGGAGTGAAGAATAAATTTCACACCAAACTCACTTCAACCAAAAGATGGCCATGTGATTCAGCATCCTTCTTGCTACCTGAAATCCTACGTTGTTATTCGAACACACGTGTCCTCCTTGCCTCTGTGCTCGTTGGTAATATTTTCACATGTTCCACATTTGGAAAACCTGCAAAGCATAAATTTAGTGAACAGAAAATGGAAATGACAGACGCTTTGATTCCGGAAATATGGGATTGAGATCTAACAATTTTATTTTTTTTAATAATAAAACTTTTCAATGCCAAGACCACCGGAACTCTTTGGCAAGTTTCTGTCTAAGAAATTCTACAATCTGTTTTGAGGTTTAAATGAACCAACAGTGTACTGGAAAATGTTTGTTGACAAATTTTGCGCTTTCTCATCCCCATCTAGGGATATAGAATTCAGTATGTAGAAGTTTAATCTTATCTTTGAGAGTAACCTATGTTTTGCATCTTCCATCTGCTGCATTCTGCTTAATTACAATATATTGTACATTGAATTATTTGAGAATCATCAGTATCAAATTGATCTGGAAATTAAACTCGATATACTTCTTGCAATTGTGTATTCTATTCCAAAGTTGAAGTTAATTTTACAACTTTTTTAGCCTGGCACAATTCTTTGATGTTTTGGTGTATGATTTTCTTTTCTTTTCCTCTTATATTTTGGTAGTCCTTACTCCTATTGAGGGATTATCGAGAGATTCGTTGATAGGAATGTAAGAACCAAAATTTTCTTTATTTCTAAGGAGAAAGGCGGCTAAACCCAACCATAAAGTTATGGCTGGTTAGGTATGCAATATGAATTTTGTTTTTGTTTTTGGTTTCTGGAGTAGGATGGATTCGGTGCATATCCGTTTGGCAGGAATTTTTTAAAACTATTTTTGGATTTTGTGATCAAAATAGTTGAAATTCTGAACAACATTTTTTTTTTGTTTTCAATGTATCTAATTTTGAATTTGAAATTTTAACATATCTATTTAAAAATAGAGCTTTGATAAATATAGTACTTCATATTAGTTAAATTAACATATGTATAGTACTACATATATTATAAGTTATATGATACTGTAAAACAATAATTATACATAGTTTATTAATAAAACATTTTTATAAATATATTAATTATAGTTGGTAACTATAATTATTTTTTTAGTTTATAAATATTTTATCAAACACATTTTAAATACTGCAAATTATGTTCCTGTTTCTAAATTTTCTGCCAAATACATATTCAAAAACACTGAAAACATGAAATACAATTTTGTTATTCATGAAATCTCTCGTTTTCAAATTTATGTTTTGAGATCATTAACAAATGCACTTCCCCTTTGTTGGCCCTTTTGTGCTAATACATGTGAGTTTTTCCCCTTTAAATGAAAAGTCATACATTAGTAAAACAAATGAAAAAATTTACAGCAATACCAAAGAACAACTCATTACAAAATGGAGTTGAAACAATATTAGCAATGACAAAATCCAAAAAAGAAAGAAACCATTACAAAAAAAGGGGGGTTCAAATTAAAAACCTTGTCAAAGATTATAGTTTTCTTCTTTATTTTCCCATTGACGAGCTTTATTAATTCACCTTTTGGTGTTGGGAGCCCAATAAGACCCTTTTATTTCACCCTTTGAGCTAATAGACAATAGATAAGTACAAAACTCTTTTAATCACTGACACCTAAGAGGAAGAATTACCATGCCATAGTCCAGTCCTCCCCTAATGTGAGGCCCAATTTTATAGTGACCTACAAGTTAGTTCTGTTTCAGGAAGATGTCGAATATTTTGGGGAGGATAGAGATCTAAGGGGATTTTGTATTAGTCTTGAAATTTTTGGTATAGAGAATCCTGGGAGCAGAGTTCAGATCTCTTGAAGAGATTCATCAATGTATAACAGTTAGATAGGAGATGTATTATTTTGGGGAGGATAGGGAGCTAAGGGGATTCTTATCATGTTTTACCTTCAGAAGATGGACTGAAATTGTTGGGTCCTCGCTAATTTTTTAGCCTCTTTGTTCGTTCTGGACTGTTGTTATTGGGTAATGATATATAATGTATTAATTAAGAGCTACTTTTAACCTTAGACATTTGTAAAATCTAGTGTTGCAGCTTATTAGTAGCTCTGGGTTGATTAGTTTGACGATGAAGGAATGACAGTTGTGTACTAATTCTTATTCTATCATGTCTCCCTGAAATTAATTACATCAGCTGGGATACTTCACTTACTGTTATTTTGTTCCATGTGAACTCCCCAGTGCCGTAATTTGTTCTTGATTATTTTATAGTGTTGTTTCCAATATATGTAACATAAATCGTGTGGAACCATTTTGGTAGGTATTTCCTGCGCCTGCAGACAGAGAAAAAGTGAAATCTTGTTTATCTGAATTGGGTGATATGAGCAGTACTTTCAAGCAAGCTTTGAATGCTGGGCTGGAACAACTAGCTGGAACTATAACACCTCGGATTCGCCCAGTCTTAGACACTGTTGCGACATTTAGCTACGAACTGTCCGAGGTTGAGTATGCTGATAACGAGGTGAATGACCCATGGGTCCAAAGACTTCTGCATGCAGTGGAAACGAATGTGGCATGGTTTCAGCCTCTAATGACTGCCAACAATTACGACTCGTTTGTGCATTTGGTGATCGATTTCATCGTAAAGAGACTTGAAGTGATTATGGTGCAGAAGAGATTCAGCCAACTTGGTGGGCTTCAACTTGACAGAGATGCAAGGGCGTTGGTAAGCCACTTTTCCAGCATGACTCAGAGAACTGTTAGAGATAAGTTCGCTCGGCTCACTCAAATGGCCACAATTCTCAACTTGGAGAAGGTTTCAGAGATTCTAGACTTCTGGGGTGAGAACTCAGGACCTATGACATGGAGACTTACACCAGCAGAGGTAAGGCGTGTGTTGGGTCTCAGAGTTGACTTTAAACCTGAAGCTATTGCTGCTCTTAAATTGTAAACTTATTTTAGTATTTACCTCATATATTCTTTGGTTCTTTCCTATTAAGAAATGCCTACCTCTCTTGCCTTCATCTTGCTTCTTAACTTTTTGTTACTTTCAACTTTAAATACTGATAACTCAGCCAAGCAGATATACTTTTGGACGTTTAACAGTACACTTTCTTGTTTTTCCTGTGAAAAGAATTATGAATTTTGATACTTGAGAATCTGGCTTATGAGTGTTACATTTTGAATATGATGATTCAAGGGTGGGATTTGATGATTAGAAACGGATGTTTGAAAGAAGAATAACAGTTCTTGAAACGAGTCCAACTCTCCAATGTCTATAGGCTTAAACCTGCATGGTTCGATTTTCTTGAATCTGTTTACTAACTTGAACCCTAAACAGAGCAGTATTCTACATGTGATATAATCTGTTTCAACTGCATTAAAGGTTTCATAAAAGTATCTTTTAATTGTTTTTGGTTTTTACATCACTAACTGTAATCTTGAAACCTAATTTGATCCAGAGTTGATGTACCCATATTAGTTCGCGATTGTGTCATAGCTCCATATGAGACTGAATTTTGTTTGTTACTCTTCTATGAAAACAAACTTCTTTGTACATAACTGTAACACCAGATAAGATGTATTTAAGATCCAAAGAATCTAAGGAAAGGAACTAAGGGATTTAGGCTATTTAAGACCCAAAGAATCTAAGGAAAAGAACTAAAGGATTTAAGGACAAGGGTGTTACGCAAGCCATTTCCATACCATAAAGACAAAAAGGTAATTTTTTAAGATGATCAAGAAGGGAAGAATGACCCGGGGATGAAGAATGTTTATAAAAAAATAATAAAATAATCAGAAAATGACAAATTACCAAAATACCTAAACTTCGAAATATTTACGAAAATGCCACAGATCAAAAAAATGGATTTGAGTAGGTTCTAGAGGACACACAACTCACCACATCCAACGGTTAGAATTCAAATTGGAAGTCGATAAATCATTGATTAGAGAGGATATTCTGTCGGTTTAAGCTTCCTCTATAAAGTTTGAAGTTAGGGCATTCATATGGATTAATAATCGAGTTAAGTCAAGCTCCCAATCGAGAGTGATAAGTGTTTAGATTTTGGGTCTCCTACTCTCTAATTTCTTCCAAATTTGATAGCAATTGTCCACCATTTTCCTTCCAACGTGTTACAACTTCTAATGAGATTACCCACAAGTTCTATGAAGGAATCGAGCACTAAAAGAGCCCAAAACTTATTTCCCCAATAGTGGAAGCCATTGAAGAACTTCAAAGGTGAACTTGAAATATCAATCCGAGCCTACACGATAATTCATTGATCAAGGATGATCTCATTCAGTTTCTACACCTTCAAGGAGTAATTCTATAGAAGACCACGAAGAGAAATAACTCCAAGAACGTGCCCAATTGAAGGAAATCAATTTCGAGTAGAATTTGGGGGTAAGTATCGAATTCCAATCTACAATTCATTTCTCTTCAAATTAAGTATTTCTTTAGCTTCAAAGGATTGAATCCAGTCACTTTGATGAAGAAATCGAGAGCGAAAACGTCCTAGATTGAGCTACCTAAGAAAAGGAAGTTCTACATTTTCGGGTGAGTTGCAGACCAAGGACAATTTTTGAAAATTAAAGCCCCACACTCAAAAGCATTCCTCTAGGAAGAGGTTCTATGAAAAATCATATTTTCGACGAATTTTGGAAGCAAATATCTTAGACCACGACTGGCTACTCATCTTCAACATTCGGGACCTCCAAATGGTATGCAACTATGTAGAAGATTTTTTATGATTGTATGATTAATGATAAAAAAATGTTAGGCAGGCAAACCAAGAATTAGAATTAAGGATAAAAATGACAAATTAAGTTATGTTCAAGGGCTAAACACACCCTCTAATGGGCTTATTACTTCTTATAAAGATATGAAGGTATGTTTAAGGTTTGGAGTTGATTAGAGCCAAAGTTGGAATATAGATGCTAAACACCTGAAGGAAACACCTGCTAAAGTAATAATTATCGATGACAAAATAGTGAAAAATAAATTGGGATTGCCTTTTATGTGATCAAAGCGCAGGAGGAAACAGAAAACAATTCATATTACCCAAATCGTAAAAGAAACACAAAATCTAATCAAAATCACTTCTTCAGAGAACCACAACATTTTCAAAAATCTAATATCAATGAAGTTTTCAATAACGAAACCTTGAGACCATATTAGTTAGCAGTATGAACCAAAACAGAGTACAAACTTGAAGTAAATACTAAAACATAAGGTGGTTTCCTTCCTTTAACACATATAAGTTTGATTAGCAAAGGAACGTGTTTTAGCATACAGTAAATCAAAATTGGGAATAGAAAACCTAGAGGACGACCCGAAGAAAGGAGAGGGGAATTCCTGAATAAGAACACACCCAGTTTGTGAGAAGATCAGAAATAGCCCAACAGAAACAGTGAACAAAACCCAATTAAGATAAAAATAAGAACACACCCAGTTTGTGAGAAGATCAGACGTGTGCAGTGCCTTCTGTGAACTTGGGATCCTCACATCTGTACTTTCCATCAGGCCCTATTCCGAACCCTTTCGGATCAGCAAACACATTCTCTAGTAACTGACTTCTGGCTGGATGGGGGCTTTCATCAGCAAACTCTACTGCTTCTTCAACCACCTCGCCTATCCTCTTCTCTATCGCCTTTAGCTCCTGTTCACTCGCTAGATTCTTCTCCACCAAGTACTTCTTCAACGCTGCGATGGGATCTCTAGCAGCATAACGGGCCTTCTCGGCTGCCATGGTTGAATCGGGAATTCTTAATTCTTTTTACTTTCCAGAGTTATCATATTTCGGTAAGAAACTACTACACTTGTGTCATCTAGTCGAGTCGGTCTATGAACTCTAAAGAGTGACCACATATTTAACTGATGAATATTAGAAATCTACATATGTATTATCATTCCAATTTGCTAAATGTATCGAATGAGTTCCAATTGTTCTTCCTGGTGAGCAATTAATCATGCAAAGGTCACATACTGGAGTAGTTATGTCCATAAAGCTTGCCTGGTTTCTTCCTTATTCACTGCCACTTCTATCATGTTTGGTTCACTTAGAATCTATTCAGTAAACATTGCAAGATGACTCCAATAATGGCCTCAGACAATGCACTCAGGACTAAATCAGCTATAACATTTCCCTCTTTGTTCAGTAAAAAATGAACTAATGAATGAATTATCCTCTAATGCTGTGTGGAGTAAGGATTAAGAGATTAGCTATCATTATTCATGAGAAATGAATTCAGGAACTTTTCGATGATCCGTAATAATAAATGTCAACAAGAAAATGCATATTAGAATTGACGTAACCAAATGTAGGTGTGAATTTAAGAGAACTAACCAGGGTCACGGAGTTCGTCTGGATCGGCCAGTGAGTGTCCTCTAAACCTATAGGTTTCACATTCCACGAGAGTCGGTCCTTCTCCTCTCCTGGCTCTTCCAATTGCCTCCTTTGCAACCTCCCTCACCTTCAAAACATCCATACCATCAACATGAACACCAGGCATTCCAAATGCAGGACCCTTCTTCCAAATCTCAGGATCCGAAGTTGCCCTTAAATGCGACATTCCGATTGCCCAAAGATTATTCTCCACAACAAATACAATTGGCAATTTCCACAGAGCTGCCATGTTCAAACACTCAAAGAACTGACCATTGTTGCAAGTTCCATCTCCAAAAAACGCCAGTGTGACATCTTCACAATCTCCCTCTTTTAAAACTTCTCTCTTGTATTTAGATGTAAATGCCGCACCAGTGGCCACTGGTATGCCTTCCCCGATGAAGGCAAATCCACCGATCACATTATGTTCTTTCGAGAACATATGCATTGAGCCGCCTTGGCCTCGGCAGCACCCAGTGGTCTTTCCAAAGAGCTCACTCATGACCTCGCGGGCTGGAACTCCCTTGCTAAGAGCATGAACATGATCACGATAAGTGCTTACTACGGTATCCCTCTTTGTAAGCAGCTTAATGAACCCAGTGGAAACAGCTTCTTGGCCATTGTAAAGATGAACAAAACCAAACATTTTGCCTCTGTAATACATCTGTGCACACATGTCCTCAAAAACTCTGCCTAAGATCATGTCCTCATAGACTACCAAACCCTCTTCTTTTGTAATCAGCTGTGTAGATACAACAAAGGGAACCAAAAAAGTGGAAGAACTTTTAAACCAAGATGAATCCATGCGGTGGAGCAAATTAACAATAATCGATAATGACAATCTCAAACAGTAAAACAGGGAGACCAAAATTAACAAATTAAAAATCAATCATGCGGGCATAGAAAGTGAAATTTCATGCTAAATTACCGCATTCGCCCAAAATTTCAAGGGCATTAGCAACCCAATAAGAAAAGAATCAACCCCGAACAAATTCCGGAATCTAGAATCCGAAACGTACCAGATTGGAACCGGATTTGAGCTTCTTCTCCTTGACAACATCGGAAACGGCAACGACAGGGGAGGATCGACAGCGAGTAGTGGATTTGGAGATAGATGGGAAGCGAAATCGAGATCCAAGAAAGTTGGAGGTGGATCTAAAGGGATCAAAGAAGAGGGGTTTTTCGTTAGATCTGGGGGAGTTGAGAAGAAGGGGTTGGAGGATTTTGGGAGATGCAGAGAAGGACATTGTGAAGTAGGGTAGTGAGAGGAGGAGAGGAGGGGAATGGAATGGAATGGAATGGAAAGGAAAATGGAGAAGATGTATAAAAGGGGAAGGAAGAAGAGGAGAATGGGAGGGGCGGAGGAAACGAGGAGAGGGAGCTTGGGAATCGCCGCCTTTTCTGAGGCGTGAGGAGTTTGGTGTTGCGTTTCCACTGCAAACTCGAAAAGGATCAAATGGAGTGGCGAAGAACACACCCCACACTCAACTAAAACCAACCACTTTCTACTGCAACAACAACACAACAAAAATTCATCCTCAATTAACTCTTTTTTACTTCATATTCCATCTTCCAACAGCTTTTAACTTCATCAAAATTTTGATTTCAACCTTTCAAATCTAAAATTTGTTTCATCGTTAAATTCTTAGGTGGAAAGGTTTTATTAGTTTATACCAACAAATCCAAACACACCGTCTGAATCATATTTGTTGTTATCTTCCTCCTTTCAAATTTATGCTCCAATTTTGTTGTTCTTTTCATACGTATTTTATTTATCTCACATATTAAATATTAATTTGAATATTTCAAATTTTTTATTCAACCCAATCAAAAACAATCTCTCATAAGCTCATAATTCATTTAAGATTAAGATCGAGTAATATGTGATTACTATGTAATATATTAATCTTCTCGATTAACATATTTATAAATTGAGGTAAAATATTTTGTGATCTAAAATTGTACAAACTCATTGAATATGATACCACCACTTACAAGTGTCCACCTCAAAGATTTGGATTAAATTACAAAGTGAGTCGTATTAATAGTCTTACCAAACTAAGACAGTCAACTTTATCAATATATTATAACCCTTTTAGTTATAACTTGAATACGTGTTAACTACATATCACTTAAAATTACATTAATAACCTCAATTTTTCATACCATAAATAATATTAAATGGTAAATAAAATATTTAAAATTTAAATAACTAATTCCATAATTTAAGATATAAATTTCAATATAAAGTATATCAATAGTATGAAACGATTCAATTATGCTTCAACTCTATATAGAAACGACCATCAATATATGTCAGTCTGTCACTCTTATATTTTATTTATTGACCGGATAGACTTGAACTTACATCCTTTTATAAACATATATATATTAATTATAAACAATAAAAAAATAGTTTTATTATCAATTAAATATTTGGTTGAATTTCAAATATTATAGATTAGCTTCTGTAACATATTTGATTTTACAAATATCATATAATTTATTCCATCATATTTTTTTGGTTTTAATTAAAAAAAAAAATCTTATAACATGAAATATTTGTTAAATTTATATTTTTAATAAAAATATGTGTTATGGATAGGGATATAATTTATGAACCATCCACTTATCACCACCCAAAGTTTGCAACAAGAATTATATTAAAATGTTAGATTGCTTTCAACCGTGGGTCCATAGCTCAGTGGTAGAGCATTTGACTGCAGATCAAGAGGTCACCGGTTCGAACCCGGTTGGGCCCTTTATTATTTCGTTCTTTTTTTCCTTTTCTCCTGCTACTGTTATCATGGCATCTGCTACTTGAATAATATTACTAATGTGTATCAACTTGAAACTGGTTCGAATCCCTTTTCCCTCGTAAATGTTTACATTTGCATTAATTTTTTCCTCTTAACTTTCTCCGTTCAAAACCTAAATCACAACTATTCATCGTTACCTTTTGTTGCAAATTTTAAGGAAAATTTTAGTTTGAAAATTTGGTGGTCATCAAATAGCCCACAATCCGACGGTCAAGAATATTCATGTCTCTAACTTAGCACGGGTCACAAGTTCTACAGGATTTAGTAGACTAAGTACATTCATATATATCATATATTAGGATAGACTTATAAGCATAAACTAGAGTCATACATCATACATACTAATCATCAATCCTAATATACTCGTACTACACATGCGATCATGATTTCTATAAATTAGGTCATGCTATAGCATGCATTCATCGTAACTAAGTTCCTAATCACATGATGTACATACTTAGCATCAATAACGAGTTCAAATCTGCATAGGAGTTTTGATATGCTACTTACTTGTATCGCTAATTCATTTTCTCACGAATATCGCTCTTAATATGATAATTATGGCACAGTTCCTTCAAATTACACTTCTTTAATAGTTTTTAGGGTTAATATTGGCTAATATTGATAAAACATGTCAAAAGGAGTTGAAAGGGAAAAACTAGAGTTCACCACGTGTCTATAACGCCCTCGGGCACTTGCATGCTCATTGTGCCACACGCCTAACGACCCTCGAGCACATGCAGTTTCATGCGTCAACCACCGCCTGGATGAGCCCCTTCTCCTCGTGTGATTCTCCACTTCTTCCACCAACTTGCTACTGTCTTTTTTTTAACACAAAAATATTGCAGTACCTTAGCTACTATTGAAAGCGCATTGTCATAGATGCTATTGTCATCAAATACCTTGTCATTGAGATTTTAGAATTGGCTAGGAATGCAATGCATGACAACAAGAAAAATAGGATAAGCCCGACTTATCAATTTATCCGGTAATCTACTAGGGGCTCATGTAGGCACGTTCTTCTAGCGGTAGAAGAATAACGAGGAGTTTGAAAAATTGCTTCAAGAAGACAATTGCAAGTGAGAATTCTTCTAAACATCAATTGACTCTTTTAAAGAGTGAACATGAGAGAGGTGAGTAACACTTGTGGAAGTGCTCCATAGGAATGAGCATGAGAGAGGCGAGCAATGTCCATGAAAGTGCTGCAACAAGAGTGAACACAAGAGAGGCGAGACAACACACGTGGAAGTGATCCAAGAAAAGTAAGCACGAGAAAGATAAGTAATGTCTCAAGAAATACTCCAAGTAGATAGTGTGCATAAATTATATGCTCTCACGGCTTCAACGGACATAAATGCTAACAAAAAAGAGTTCACAACTTGAGTTAGCATCCAAACTAATAAGGAATGATATCTATTATTAGCTTGAGTTAGAGTGTCCAAAGATTAGACTTATGTTTGTGAAATACGAAGTCATTGACCTGATTTATTCCGATTTACCATAACGGATATCTAATATTAGGATTAGTTACCTATTTTTTTATTTCTCACATAAAGTTATTGCAACAAAACTGAGAGGGGTATTAATAATTGTCATTTATGAGAGTTAATTACCTTTAAAAATCAAATTTATTGTTTAAAACCAGGTTTTTATTGTCATGATTGTAAAAAACAAGTTACATGATTTGTAAAAACTAATTAAATAAGTGTAAAAATAAGTTAGGCGTGTATTAAATTTAAAAATAATTTAATTTATTTTCTTCTTCCAATCACCTTTGTTCTAACTCTCTTCCTACCGTTCTTGTTTTAACAAGTTTGAAAACAAAACAGTCTAAGTGTAACTATTGTTCGCTCGAATCTTAAATTATCTACAAAATTTTGTCGTACACATGTATTTAATTCTTTAGGCTATTAAAATGATTTAAAATATGTTTGAATAGGTGTTAAACTTGACTCACGGAAATATTTTAATTGCATTATGCTAAAATTACACAAAACTCGAATATATGAGGTGTGAGCGCAAATGAGTTAGCAATCATTGACGATGTGCATTTGCTATTGGAGCTTAAATTGATTTGGGCTTTAGATTCAATCTATAACCCTAATAATTTGTTCAGAAGGGGTGGAGATGAGGATTGTTGCGTTTCTACTCCAAAAAGATGCTCGATTGTGGTGGTAGTCTACCTCAAAGACTCTGGCTGCAAATGTCGACTAGGTCACATAGACAGTTTAAGGAGGCTTTTCTCACGGAGTATTTCAAGCCAAAGTTGTGATACAAGGAGAGGTGAGAATTTATGAGTATTGGGTAGGGAGACACGTTAGTAGAAGAATATGATCACGAGTTTACTCGCCTTAATTCCTTCTTGCATGTTCAACCCTAAGGAAAGGAGAGTAGAATGTTTCATCATTGACTAGAGATTTAAGGTTTGGGAATCTATATCTGTTCTAAGCCACCCAACTACGGCATGACACTTTGACTAAAAAAGGCAATTGATGACTGTGAACCCCCTACCGTTGATAAAATTCTTGACTCGGGCTTTTCCAAAAAAAGGAGGAAAGTGGAGGCAATCGCACAACTCCCGACCAAGACCCCACGGAGTCGAGGTGGGTTTGGACAAACACAAGAGAAGAGGCCCACATAGAAAAATTGTCATGAGAAAACAATTTATACTAACTGTGGATGACACCACCTCGGGCCATATAAGTTTAAGAATAAAGTGTGCTTCAACTATATGGATGACATTGTAGCCAAAGGATGAGGGTGGCTACTAGTCAACCAGTAAAGGGTGATCAAGCCCCACCCCAGAAGTTGGCCTAACAATAGGGTCAAATTTATGTCAATACTCGACAGGAGGCCTCAAACACTGCAGTCAGTCATAGGTATGTTGTAAGGGGAGTGTCTCACAAATTTGTTTAATATTCACCCCGTTCAGAATGAATTTCTTGTTGTTGAACTGTTTGGTTAAATTGCAACTCTTTTAAAGTTCCTTTGGAACCGATTTTACTTTAAGTGTCTTTTTGCATCTTTTCATGTATTTTAAATATCATGATATGAATTAATTATAAAAGGGCCAATTTAAAATGAACCAATTACCTCTTGATCGACAGTCAAATGTTCTACCACTGAGCTATAGACCCAAGCATGTGGAGGCTACAACATATGTTAAATAAGATATATATTTTATTATATTAGATATTAAAATATTAATGTGGTGATTATTCACCTACTATCCAAAATGGATGTTGTAAATGGTTTAGAATGGACACAGAAAAGTCCAATGCCCAATAAGAACCTAGTTGGATGGATGTTCGAGATGTCTCCATGTGATGATCAACACATGGGTTAGTTTCCAACGAATGTGTCTAAGCAAACCAAGATGGTCGGGCTTTCCTGAGACATGGATGGTGTCACGATGCATGGGTTGTATAGTTGGGAATCGAGATGACGATGTGATGCAACACTGTTTATGAAAGACCTTTGTCTAGAGTAGAGACCTGATGTTCGAGATGTCTCCATGTGATGATCGACACATGGGTTAGTTTCCAACGAATGTGTCTAAGCAAATCAAGATGGTCGAGCTTTCCCGAGACATGAATGGTGTCACGATGCATGGGTTGTATAGTTGGGAATCGAGATGACAATGAGATGCAACGTTGTTTATGAAAGACCTTTGTCTAGAGTAGAGACAAAGTCAAGCCGGATGACTTGTACTTGAGTAGAGGCAAGTTGACTAGAGTCACAGACTATTGAACATGCACGCATGGACAGTGTGTGTGACCGAACAATTAGATTCTGCACAAATAGTGTTCAGTTGGCAAAAGCAAACCTCAGCCTAAGGTCTAATGAAGCATAAAGTGTGGGAAAAAAATGTGAATGAGGCGTAAGTTCACCTTAAAACTTATCATGAACATATCAAAATTACACGGTTAAAGAAGTACGACCATGACAATAAGCGTTAACTATGGGTGTCCAGCTCAAAGCTTGTGGTGGGGAAAGGAAAAGAGAAAAGGGTTGGCTTAGGCGGTTGAGCTTGGCTATTTAGAGTCGAGCCCCTTAGCATCTTTTGGCTTTTACCTTTTCTTAAAATCATGAGTTAAAACTTTTTCTTGGAAGAAAGCTGTACATTATTCTTAATTACATTTGCCTCAACTTTTTCTTGGAAGAAGGATGTACATTATTCTTAATTACATTTGCCTTAATTACATACTGAAGTTCAAAAATAAAATTGAGTAGAGTAACCCAACCTCGTAACATACTATTGCAGTCCCTTTAATCCAATGGACAATGTAATTGAAGACAGCACGTTGATACGTCAAACGAGCCCATCTTTATTGATATACAAATTAAAAGATTAGAAACAATGGAAATGAATTTGAACAAAAAGAAATATGAAACCAAATCATAGCCTTCAAACAGTTAAAGAGGTTTGTAAAAGAACAATGAACAGAAATTCCTCCCTTGGCATCTTTACTTTTCTACTCAGAAATCATATAAAAAGCATACAACCTAACCGCATTTGATTTCAAGATGTTCCAATCTGAAGGCAACAGCCCACAAAATTTCTAGCAAAGGCTTATTAGTTATTGATCATTTTTGATCGTACCCAAACTAATCAAAGTGAAAGGAAACATTGACTGCCTAACCTTACATCTAAGTTTTCTCCTCATCCGATTGCGAGCATGGTTGCTCAGGCACAGAATCAACGAAAAACTCCTCAACTGTAGGATAAAACAGATATCAAGTGTCAAGCAGTACACAATGACATACACCTTCAACTGCAGAATTTAACAATGCCATTCCGATAGACCCCAACAGTCGACATGTATAGCAAGATGAGAGTTGTGGGCGAGTGAGTCGATGAGTTATAGAAATGTAATTTATGGCAAACTTACACAACAGGGTAGGAAATGGGAGTTTGAGAAGCATTTAGGGAAAGCTAAAGTAGAGGCGAGCAACACTTTTCGATTCAGAAGTTGAGAGTTGGAAGAGACGAACATCCTTGAATTATCATGAGGCTCATATCTCTTCAACTTTCGTGTTGATTTAGTGAAGTTTATCACATTTTTAGGGAGTATTTGGACACCGGAATACTATCGGTATGGACGGGCATTGAGAAAGAAGATGTTGCCTACATGTATGAGTTTAAATGTCTTCAAGTCTAGAAGCTGAGATTTGATTATACAACATGCATATTGTAACCAGATTTGAATGAACTAAGCCGTTGCCAATAGTAATAGGACTACTTTCCTTTCTTCCTTTTGTTTCTTTTTCATCTTCTTCATTATTTATTTAGCTTTAAAGAAAAAAGCAGAAAAGCTTCTGAGAACTAAACAGAGATGATATGAAACAGTTGAAAGAAGGAATTAAAGAGAACGTGTAGATTTGGTACCTAAATCCTCATTTTCTGGAGAATTGAGCAAAATATCCGAATCAGAAGGCAGAAATGGAGAACCAGGATAATTTCCCAAAGCTCCTAAATCTGCAGTAGTTGAAAATAATGACAATAAGTTATTTACAATGGAAGCTAATATGAAAAATAAATGGTATAGTTTAAGCAAGGTATTACACCTCCCAAATTCGACAAATCTGCTGTAAGATCTGACAGACTGAAGTTCCATTGAATTTGATCCAATGATCGGAAAGGATCCCGAGAATTTCCATCTGTACCATCCGGTGGAAGTTGCAAACCTACAGAATTTGCAACGTCCGATGTGAAGACAGTTTCAAGATTTGAAGTCTCTGCTCCAATTCCGGAGATTTCTGATGCTGAGAATGGGAAATGACCACTGGATGCCACAGATGTAGGACTCACAGGAATCTCTGACATTGATGACAATGCTCTGTTTGGTGGAAGAACAGAAGCCTCATCAGCAGTATTGTAGTTTGCCATAATTTTACAATTGAAACTATGATTCATTATCGGAGCTACCAAACAACAGATACAAGGAATTGACAAAAGATACATGGATGAACTGTTCATATAAGTTACTTTTAAGTGGTGGCTACTTCCAATGGAAACTTTAAGCACAAAATTTAGAAACAGCCCAAGCCCACCGCTAACAGATATTATCTTCTTTGGATTTTCCCTTTCGAGCTTCCCTCAAGATTTTTAAAGCGCGTCTACTAAGAAGAGGTTTCCACACCTTTATAAAGAATATTTTGTTTTCCTCTCCAACCGACGTGGGATTTCAGACATACATTAGCACAAGAAAAATATTTGAACCGTAGCAGAATTAAATTTTAGAAGGAACATTTTCGACCGCAGTGGGCATATCATGTCAGATGATAGGAAGAAGGGCCAAAGAGATCCTAAAAACTTACTCGTTTCCAGAATTCATCCGAATAGGATGATAGTTACTTGGTGCAGGGACTCCATTGACTATATGACAACTTGATATTCCATTACTCATAGTATCAACAAGGGGTTGACCTGGGACTGGAGCCATAGATTGCTGAAGGACTGGATACCCCATAGGTAAGTTATTATTATTAACTGCACTGCAAAAAGTTTGAGTTTATAAACTAAAATAATTCGATCACTTTAAGTATAAAATTGAGGATATAAAAATTGGCAAAAAGGAAAGTACAAGTATGAATAAGCATTTTGTAGGAATGGAACCACCGTACCAGGCATAGGGTGAATCCCATTCTGTATAGGTGCCAATGAAACCTTGGGAGGCATAGGATACTTCATGAGGTGATATTGATGCTCAAGCAAATGGTTGAATAAGAGGATTTGTTTTTTCAATTTCAACCTTATATAATATGCTCGGAAAAAGTCGGCATTTTCTTCTTCCAATTTCTGCCATACTGAATTAATATAGGATATAAAATTATGTAGTTTAACGAAGCCATGAAGCATTGATGCAAACAACAGATAAGTAGACTTTCAATAAGGGTTTTCTAAAACCTGCATCGTACATGATCATTTATATATAGGCTAAACCAAACATATTGTTGTCGCCTATGTAAAAGTGATAAAGAACAAGGTATTATATTCAAATGAGAAAAGCAAAAAAAATCAAGAAACTATTGAAGTAAGTTCCAATATACCGAGACTTGTAAATCCAGGATCTATTCTTGCACGAGTAAGGAGCGTTTTAACTGCCTCGTCTCTATTCATGTATAATTGTAAGCACCGCTCAATTAAATTCTGGACCTAGAACACCAAATTTAAAGAACCTATCAACACATCAAAACTTCACAAATATGGATAACTGGAATCACGAGAGGATAAAAAGAACATTGCTTCTAAACTAAGAAAATCTTATCTTACAAATTCAATATCTTGAGGTGAGACTCTCTTGCTGTCATTGCTCGTTGCAGATACAGAACTTGAGTCTGTAATAGGTGCCTCAGTTGTATTTAATTTGACATTTTCTTTCTCATTTGCTTTCTCATTTGTTGAATCACGAGAAGCTTGAGCTGATTCTTTAGAGCCCTGTGAACTCCATAAAGGTCTTTTAGAATATAGCTGTAGGCAATATATGAAAGAAAAACCTCTCATTGGTAGGTCTGTGCCAGATGAAACAAGCACTTAAAAAAGAGTCAGGAAAGAGTGTTCATAGACATGTTTATGATAATGCCACAAACTACATATAGATGGCTGTAACGGCCCAAGCTCACTACTAGCAGATATTGTCCTTTTTGAACTTCCCCTCAAGATTTTTAAAACGCCTCTGTTAGGGAGAGGTTTCCACACCCTTATAAAGAATGTTTTTTCCTCGCTGGCACTTTGTTCCCTTCTCCAATTGATGTAGGACCCCCCCAATCCACCCCCCTTCGGGACTTAGCCTCCTTGCTGGCACATCGTCCAGTGTCTGGCTCTGATACCATTTGTAACATCCCAAGCTCATTGCTAGCAGATATTGTTCTCTTTGGGCTTTCCCTTTCGAACTTCCTCTCAAGGTTTTTAAAACGTGTCTACTAAGGAGAGGTTTTCACACCCTTATAAAGAAGGCTTCGTTATCCTCCCCAACCGATGTGGGATCTCACAATAGCAGTATTACTAAACTAAATAAACGTAATGAAAATGATTAGAAGTTTATGCATTAACTATGCATTTTTTCCCTATAAGGTCTAGATAACAGAGATGTGGATAGTATCCTCCTACAGTACTTGTGAGGCCGGTGGAAAATCGCCTATTTATTCACTTTACAAACATCCTCAAGATTGTACAGGCAAATATTTTATGAGTAACTTTTAGAAAGCTAATTCATATCGTAAATTGAACGAGGTTTATAAAATAAAGTGAACAAATTAAAATAATCCTGTAAAAAGATGAACAATAATCAAGAGATAGAGAGGAACCTGTGTGGTCTTCATAGTATCAAAATGCAGGATAACCACATCCTTCTTCTTTTTCTTTGTTTGGTGGTGGACTAGATACTTCTCTAATGAAGTTTATGCAATTGTTGGCGGAGTTTCAACCTGATAATAGAAGATTTTTCTTTAATCCCCTTGAAACTGATTAATGAGCATATAAACGAAAGCAAATGATTTTGTACTTCAATCAAAACACAAATGGTATTTCCTTTTTCTACTTATATTATGTTATTCGTCAACTGTTAGAACAGTATCCATTCGAGTAAGGAAACAGCATTTTGTTTCTGATCATCTTGTTAACATTTGATTGATTTCAATGGTTTCAGTTCATAATGAAAAATAAGAGAGAGAGTAACAAAATACCAAAACATGTGCTGATTGAACACTTAAAAGAATTTCCAAAAAGAAAAAAAAACAATAAAGGGAAAAGGATCTTCTGCACAGAACTATTTTGAACACTTTTAGATTTTGTAATGACAATTAAAATAAGGATCTAAGCTCCACTTTTCCACCCTTTTCCCTAATAAAGAATTGATCGTCAAAGGCACGCATTTCGAGTATGAAAAGGCCTTAATCTTAGAATAAAAGAATTGTTTTCCAAAACAACAATGACCAAAACAATAATCAGATTCCCAGATCTAAATCAAGCTCAAATCATTCACATTTTACACTAGTTTAACAAAGACCAATTAACGAAGAAATCAAATAGAAAAAGGAAAAGGTAGGAGGATCTAGCAGTATTACCTAACACCAAGATTCTGGAACTCAAAAAGAACAACGAAACTTCTCCACGAAGCTCAAAATTCTCAAATATCTAACAAAGAAGAAGATCTAATTAAAACCGCTTAAAAAATCTAGATTCAAAAGCAACTCAGAGCCGTCAAATAGAACAGAAAATGTTCACAATCGAGAAATAAGCCGAAAATGGGAGTATTGGGCAGTGAAAAAGGTGCTGGAGAGTGGAGAGAAGGGGGGAAATCTTGGGGAAATGGGAGTGGGAGAAGGAGAAGTTCTTGCATTTATAGCTTCGAATATTTTCCAGGAAAATGGCGGAAAAGAAAATGCTAGAAATAGAAAGGGAAGCCGGAGAGAATATACCTAAACGAGAGAAGTTTCCTCTGCTGTCGGCTCCGCTTGTGCATCTACGGCGCCATCCATTTTTTTGCGCCATTGAAATGAACAAGATTTTTTTTCTGTAATATCAAACAATTTTCTCATGCTATTGAATTTTCTCGTGATAATATCATATAATTTAATAATAATTATTCAAATTTTAATTTTAAAATATTAGATTTGAATCTTAAAAATTAAGGACTGAGAAAGACTCGATTATTAATTTTAAATCTACACTAAATTAATAAAAATACGAATTATATAAAAAAAAAAAAAACGATTAAATTGCACTCCGTGTATTTTTTTTCCTTTTTTGGAACATTGAAATCTATAAATAATATTTATTCATCCAAATTTATATTTATCTATTGAATTCATTTATTTTCGTGGTACATTATTAATTATTAATTTGTTAAAAAAGTACCATTGATTTTATGAGTGGGAAAAAGTATTTCACCCGTCTCCCCTACTATTAGACCATGTGTTTAGCGAGGAGTAAGAAGAGTCTAACTTGACACGAGACTCGATGAAAGTGTGAGTCAAGAGATTCCGTATAAATATTGGAATCTAGTCAAATCGACTACATCTCGTTCTAATTCTTAATTCGACCATCGAAATATAGTCACTAATGCGAGTTTTTAGTAGAAGTCATTATGTTAGCTGATTCAGCTCCACTTTGTATCCGTATGAATGAGGAATGATACACGCATGTCCAACTACTCACAGAAATAGAAAGAGGTGTCGAACCAATGATCCCCACGTGGAGGGCAAGGGGCCAATAGATGAATGAGCAACCTGGTCCCTTCGAAGCTTACCACCTGCAAACAAGGCGCCAAGGTTGGAAACAAAGGTAGGATGGTTGGTGGTGCATGGCTAAAATTGTTGGCTTAGAGAACCAAATATTGCCAAGAGACTCTTGCAAAGGTAAAGGACGGGCTAGGGACCAGCTCTCCCTTGAGGGTCCTATTGGAAAGCTCCATCTTGGCCCCAGAGGTTGACCACATGATGCCTCACGTTCAGGATTAATGAAAATTAAGCTGCCAAAAGACGCGTTCTTTTCAGCGACCCAACAAAATGAGGCTCAAGACCAAATAGGTATTTCCACCTCAATCTAAGTACTCACATTTGGCTAATAGAACTGGAAGCCAAGCTCTTAAAGTGTACTCGGAAGGTTCACGAAGGGCGTTGGGTACGCTACACTAGTTTGGTACGAGCTCCATCATGACGATGTAGCAACCTGAGAAAAGAAGCAACTTTAAGGGACTAAAGTTTTTAAGCAAGGGGGATTTCATAAGACTCGAGCCTCAACCAGATTAGTTTTTCGATTTTTACTAAGAGTTCCAACTTTCAAGATTTTATTGAGGCTTTAGAGTACGAAATTTAAGCGGAGGTAGAATAGGAAAAAGTCATTGGAGCTCAACAAAAATATAAAAGAAAATAATGAAAAAGAAGATATGAGGGGCAAAATAGTCATGTCGTCTAGGTGCAAATTAGGGAGTACGTAAATTTCCTAATACAAAAATAATTAGGAAGAAAAAAAAGGGAGAGAGAGAGAGAGAAATAGTTTGGAAAATGTGGAAAGATATCATATTAGGTCTCTTGAATCGTCCTAATCCATCAAGTATCAAGGAAAATCGAGAATTAAGAGTTTCGAGTTTTAAGTTTCGGTTTGCCTCTAGATTCAAGAAATTTTTTTAGAATTAGGTTATGAATTCTAATATGTTGATTTTTGAGGGACTTTGTACAACTTCCATACAGGAAGCTAGAGTTGAATCTGACCAGAAGTCAGAGTTCGAGCGAACATCAAAAATTGTAAAAAATGAATTTTTAGCCTACTTTGAACAAGATAAGGAACACGAGTGTCAAAGATAGACCGGGTAGAGCCAGACCTTAACTTCCAAATTCAAGGTTTCAAAGGAAAAACTTGGACATGCAGTTTTGGAGTTAAATTTGGTGTCAATCAGACACTGGACGGATGCTCCACGACATCATATGACCGTTCGCCAAAATCATGTCTATTCAAGCAACATTGAAAATGTCTATAATGTGTTAGAAATCATTGCCACTTTAAGTGGAAGTGCTCATGCCTTTGCTTTGGGCTTCCCCAAATGCTTCGGGCAAATGGAGATTATATTCCTCACTTATAAGCTCATGATCTTCCACTAAATTAACCAACGTGGGATTCACTCCCAATAATCCTCAACATAATGTACTATGGGGGAAGGTATGGTGTCAGCTCTCCACCCCCTGGCTCTGGTGACCTAAAGTAAGCTACCATGTGTCACATGTGTATGTCATAGTGAGGGTGAGCGTTCCAGGACGAGTTTCTCAGGTGTCTTCCTTTAAAATATGTCTTTCAAGTACAGTACCGGACAACACAGGTGGGCTGGTATTGCACCCTAGCCCAAGTGTCAAAGGTTGAACTTTGCACCCGCTATCCAAAATATAGTATCTCTAAATGACATGACATAGGTATAGGAGGGCCAATGTCTCAATTGAACTTGGATGGATGGACGTTTGGGATGTTCTGAGATTATGAACGACACATAACCCATTTTCGATAGCATAACCAAGTAAGCTACGATGGCTGTCAATGCCCCATGACTTGGATGACGTCAAGACATGAGGGTTATGTTAATTGGAAGCCAAGATGATGTTGGATGCGATGTTGTATTGCAAATAGGTTGTGTAAACTATAATCAGTTTGTTTGGATTACCCGTTCAACCAACTTAAAATTTTAGATTAGTTGTATTGGTGTGTGGTGCGTTGAGAGGTCAGTTGTATTGGTGCGTGGGAGATAGAAAAAGAGAGATTAGTTTTGACTACAAGGAAGCAAAGGCCATGGGAGACCAATCCAGCAAATATAACAGTGAAAGAGTTAAATATTCCATTTTGGGTATTAGCAAAAATCTCCGTAGAGGCTCTGTCGTCGAGTGTGGGAGCCCACTAGCATGTCTCTCTCTGTTCTTCATCGATATCATATTGTCTTCAGATTGTTATAACGTCCAATTTGTCTGTATAAATACATTCAATCTCACACAGAACGAGCACGAAGGGGCGTAGATTTCTCTTCGTTTAATTTGGTGCTTATTGGGAGGGGCATCTTTCTTTGCCTTATGTCTCAACAACACAGGCAATTTCATAACAATGGCGGCGGCGGCGGCGGCAGCAGCAGCAGCGTTGGCCTTTGGGGCCAGTATAATGACACCACTTTCACCAAAATCTTCGTTGGAGGGTTGGCTTGGGACACTCAGAGACATACCTTGAAAAGGTATTTTGAACAATTTGGTGAAATTTTGGAAGCTGTTGTTATTACTGATAAAACCACTGGCAGATCCAAGGGTTATGGCTTTGTAAGTCCCCATCCCCCCTTCTTGTTCTGGAATAATGCAGATTTGATTTGATTTGATTTGATTTCATTGATTTTGTTTTTAGGTCACATTTAAGGATCCTGATTCTGCCATTAGAGCTTCTCAAAACCCTTCCCCTGTTATCGATGGTAGAACGGCTAATTGCAATCTCGCTTCTCAACACGGTTCGTTCTCATTTCTTTGATCTTTACCTTCTTTTTCAAAAAATGCTTTGATCGTTCCAATGGATCATAAAAATTCCACATGCAATCTGAATCTCCATTTCTTTTGCTGAGAATCATGTCAAATCCAAAAATATTGAACAAATTTGCAGGTGTTGCTGGAAGATTTAGAGGTTCATCTGGGATTGTGACCCCCCATGCTTATCATATCCCTTCATCATCTTATATCCATCAACCCACTACTCAATACTCATACCCTCTTTCAGGATATGGGTAAGGTTGAAACAAGAACTATAAATGATATCAACAAAACCCAATTTTACCACTTTCCTGTTCTTGATTAAAACTGTCATTTCAGGTTTGCTGGATATTCACAAGACATAATCCATCCCTTGGTAGGAATCTATGTTTATATGTTTGTGTTTGTGATCTTGTTGGCATTGATTTTGGTCTGGGCGTTGTGTTTTCAATGCAGAACTATTATGGTGCTTACAGGGGCCAACAATTTTCACCTTATTACTCTGGAATTGGGATTTCAGAACAGGCTAGAATGTTTGAAAATCTCTATCCATATTATGCTCAAAGTAGCCAGGGGTACGCGTTTGGAATTCAGTATCCACACCTAATGCATTACCCGTGTCTTCATCAGCAGCAGCACGGTTTGACCGATATCCTATCGCTTCCTGGCTGGAATGCAACAAGAACAGGTGCTAAATGAACTACAATTGCTTGTAATCTAATCCATTATTGTGTCATTGATGTTGGGAATTGTTATCTAAAGAATGTCACTTGTTTGGGACATGTTGGTTTTGAAAGTGGTCTGGAGGTTTATGTGCAAATTGTAACAGGTACAACAGCAACACCGACATGGGCGGTCGTATCTGGACCTTCACAAGCTTCTTCTGCAATAGCTTCTGAACCGAAGTCTTCGAGTTAACGGCATAGACAAAGCTTGAAAAACACATCGAGGGAACACTCAAGAACAATGGCAAGTTTGTAAGTTGTGTGATTCAATAAGAAGGATGGGAAAACGACATTCATGTTCCAGCACGGTTGAGTCATCCGTTTAACTTGGTAACAAGCGTTCCAGAGATGGTACAAAGTTGCATCAGTAACATCATATCCATGTCTAACAACATTATATATGTTTGGAGTCTGCAAGTAGTTTGTTAGAATTAGGTGAAGAATTTGATTGATTCATGTATTCAACGAAAGACGGGGAACCGAAAGGAGGCTTTGGGTACCCGTCTTTTTGTTCGGACTGCAATGAGACAATCACGTCTGGGAAGCGGAGAGCATCCTATGCCACGCTCGTTAACAGTGAATTGATCAAGAAGGAAAGGGAGTATCAGTTGGTTTGTTTTTAGCTTTTATTAATATAATTTTTTGGGGGATTGTGTCATAA